TGTGTGTGTGTGTGTGTGTGTGTGTGTGTGTGTGTGTGTGTGTGGTGACTGGGGGGTGGATCCCTAGATCTACCTGTCAGTGTCAGTGTCTTGGGGGATGGCAGGGGTGACAGAGCCAGAAGATACATTTTCGGTGTTTTAATGAAGAAGAGGAAGCAGTGTCACCGGTATGTGAACAGGGAGTCCAGGGATCCAAAACTTCTCTGGGGGTCGGGTGTGAAGCACCAGTCAAGGCCTGACCGACGGGTAAGCCGCTGATCTGGGAAATCCAGTCTCAGAGGGATCCTCTTCCCCATAACTCTGCAGAGAGAGCCTCAGAGTCTGAGAGAGGCCTCGGGTTGGACTTGTGAGGGCTTGTGGCTGAAAGGAAAGCCAGCCTGTCACACACACAATGTGTGCTCACGGTGCTGAAATAAACCCCAATGGCAGCGAACAGGGGCATTTTATCTGGTGTAGCCTACTAATAGCTTTTTGCCATGCCCCTGAAGATACAGCTAACCCAGAGGCCATAAAAGAAAAGCTGAATAAAGCTGACTAGATGAAAAATAAAACCTCTGCAAGATTTTTTAAAAAGCCATCCATGTTCAACGCAAAGTCCCAAGATAAATGACAAACTGGGAGATATATATTTGAAACCCACAGCACCAAGGGCTAGCCTTGCTAATAAAAACCAAGACCCATTGCTATTGAGTTGACGGCAACTCGTGGCTACGTTACAGGACAGAGTGGACCCGCTGCCTCAGGTTCCCAGGGTGGTGCATTTTTACAGCAGCCACTTCGTCTTCCTCCTGCAGAGCAGCTGCTCAGTAGCTGGTGGATTCAAATCTCACTGACTTGCCAATGATCTGCCAAGTGCCTTCACCACTGAGCCACCAGGGCTCCTAATATCACATCTAGAAATTAAAGAGAAAAAGAGGTGGACAACCCAAAATAATATGAGGAGGCACTTGTTGGGAAAGAAACACAAAAGGCCTTTAAACCTCAGGTGGAAAAGATGCCCAGCCTCATTCAACCACGAGAAAGGGAAACAAAGATATCCGTTTTTCACCTATCGGAATGTTAACAATTCAAAAGTCTAGCAACATATTCTGTTGGAAGCTTGTATGGAAATACCTAGTGGAAGGCCCTTTTATGAAAATGGGCGCCAAAGACGAAAAGCGAGCCCCTGCCCCTCCCCACACGGAAGCCAAAGCAACGGCATTAAAGGCCAAGAAGGCCGTGCCGAAAGGCGTCCACAGCCACACAAATAAAGATCCGCACGTCACCCACCTTCCGGTGGCCCAAGACCTTGACCTGAGGTTAAGAGGGCAGCCCGAATGCCCTTGGAAGAGTGCCCCCCGGAGCAACACGCGGAAACACTGGATCATGGGGGCTGCCGTGAAGAAGGTCTAGGATAGCTACACACGGGTGCTCCAAGCACCAGATCAAACACGCTGTGAAGCAGCCAAGGTCAACACCTTGATCCGGCCCGACAGCCAGAAGAGGCTACGAGCTTCTGACTGCGACGTTCTAGATGTTGCCAACACTATCAGAATCACCTAAACTGAGTCTAGCTGGCTAACGCTAAATATAAACCTTTTCAGAACATTAGGGAAAAAAACACCTAGTGGGATACAAAATGGTAAAAGCGTCATGGAGGGGGAACTAGGGAAACATCAATTCCAACGGCAAATCCTTTGACCCAGCAATCCTACTTTCCCAAGTTGGGGAATTTGTCCCCAAATCTGTCCCATATTCTTAGAATCTGTCCCATATTCTTAGAATCTGTCCCATATTCTAAGAGGCATAAGAACAAATCTATTCATTCAATATTGCTTTTGCTTTAAATTTTTGGAAGACAGTTTCTTTGCCACCAAGGCATTGTGATCTTGCCACCCAGCTTAGTATGAAGGACTCCATTTTGTTTAAAACTGCCAGCAGCTAGCTGCCCCTACCACTGCCCTGCTCAATATCCTGACAGACCTTGGCTCTCTGGACCCCTTACCATATCCTGTTTGCTTGATAAGCAAGAAATGTCATCTCTCCTGCCAGACCCTGTTTTATCACTGCAGATGTTCCCCGTTGCCCCCTACCAAGGTCTTGCCGGCGAAAGGCAAAGAACGTGACTGCCAGAACGTCCCCTTAACCCAGCCCTCTGTCTTAATTACTGCATGAAAGTCCTTTTACTGCCTTTGCATGGGGTGGAGAGTGAACTAGACACTAGTCGCCTTTTGTCCCACCTGTAATACAGAAGGAGTTCAACTTTGATTTATAATATTTTAATGGAAGAAGGATAGATTTTCATTTTCAAAGCCTACTTGGTTATATATATTTTTTAATTATTTTATTTTTGTTGGTGGAATACAGCAGGACACCTACCAATTCAACAGTCTTTTATCTGTTCAATCAGTGGCCCTGAGCAACCGTTTCACCTCCTTGTCGGAGCTTTTTCTCCTCCTCCTGGTAATACATAAACTCACTGCCCCACTGACTCATCTTTTCTGGTGCAGGTGGAGCTCTGCTTTGGGCCTTGGAGGACATCCAGCTAGGAGGGGAATCGGGAGTCACATGGCTGTTCTACTTGTAGCTTTTTCAGGAACTGCCAAACTCTTTTCCACAGTGGCTGTGCTATTTTGCATGCCCACCAGCGTGTACGTGGGGATTTCAAAAAGTTTGTGGACAGATTGAATAAAAAGAGCGTGTAACTGTCCCACAGACTTTTGGAAGTCCCCTGTATGGGTTCCAAGGTCCTCCTATCTTTCACATGTGCTATTTTTTGTTCTTTTCACATCAGCCATTTTCATGGGAGTAAAAGTGACAGCTCACTGTGGTTCTGGTGGCTAATCCCATCTTTCCATGGCACCAGTGGGAATTTGAGGTCCTCTTTGGTGAAATGGCTATTCAAATCCTTTCTCCATTTTATGACTCAGTTTTGTCTTTTTCTTATTAAGTGGATGAAGTGTTGCAGATATTTTGGTTATTAGATTCTCACTAGATACATAGTTTCAAAAAATATTCTCCCTGTCAGCAGCTTATGCTTTTTTTTGGTATAGTCTTTTGACACATATATGTTTTTAATATTTATGAGGTCCCACTTATTTATTTTGATTTTTTGCTGTTTGTGCTTTTGTTATTACATTAGTTAAGCCATTGTGAAAAGTTTGGCCTCACACCAGAATGCCCCTGCATTTTCTTCTTTGATTTTATGATTTTAGTTTACATATTTAGGTCCTTCATTGATTTTGAATTTGTGTTTATAGACAGTGTGAGGCCTGGACGCTGCTGTATTTTCCCTGTGTAGAAACGTTCCAAACACTATTGAAGAGAGTCTGCTTTGCTCAACGAATGGACTTAGCGCCCTTGCCAAGGCATGAGGTATTTCGGGACTCTCAGTTTGGTTCCACTGCCCTACGCGTCTATAGCCAGGCCGTTCTGATTACTACAGCATGTTGGAAAACTTGGAAGTGCAAGTCCTACTTTGCTATTCTCTTTCGACACTGCTTTCACTATTCAGGGCCTCTCGCCATTCCACTTAAAGTTGAAGACTGGCTTTTCCATTTCTATATAGAAAACTGTTGGGATTTGATAGGGATTGTAGTGAATCTATAGATCACTTGGGGTAGAATCAGTATCTTAAAAATATTGTGTCTTCCGGTCCATAAACATGGAATATTTCCCACTTATTTACTTAAGTCTCCTTTAATCTCTTCCAGCTGTGTTGTATCATTTATGTTGTGTAGGTCCTTTACATCTTTGGTTAAATTTATCCTATCTTACTCCACTAGATATTATTGTAAATAAAGCCATTTCCCTAATGTCCCCTTCAGTTTCCCATCACTGGTGGTGGCAGTTACATAACTGGTGTCAACCTGAGAATATTAAGGGGTGAAGGGGTGGGGTTTAGCCTGTGAGTTGGGTCGCAGCTTGGTGACCTCATTTGGAGGCACTCTGGAGATAAATAGCTCACTAGAGGCCAGATCCACTCTTTCTGCTTCGTATTCCTGATGACAAGCCACACAGAGCTATGCTGATGGTGCCATAGCTCTGGAGCTGGAGGAGCCACGTGCAGACCCACAAGACTTTCCACCCACTGATCTTCCTGCATTCAGCATCATTGCATGGTTGCGTGAGTCAAAAGAGGAATTTATGAATAGTATCGACATATGGGGTAATATAGGACTTAGGGACTTGATCTGGACTGGGCTGGGATGTTTTCTTAATGTACAATTGCTCTTTGACATAAAGTTCTCTCTTATACACATATGAGTGTCTATGAATTTGTTTCTCTAGTCAACCCGGACTAACACAATGTTATATAGAAACACATTCAGCATTGCTCTTAATAGCAAAGATTAGAAATGCTTGAAGTACACACCAGTTGGGAGTAGTTCAACTATTTTATTACCAATTTAGTGGGTTTCATGCTAACCACTAGGTCGGTAGTTCAAAACCCCCAGTGCTATCTGCCCTATTGGGGTCCCTCTGAGTCAGAACTAACTCGATGACAGGGACTTGGCTTTATAAAAGACAGAAATGCAGCCAGTAAAATCCAGACGATAGGAAACTCCTGAAGACAAATGACTCCGTTTCTTCAATAAATAAACTACACCGAAGGTTTTTGTTTTCTAAACCAGGTGTCTTTATTACTTGCTAAATATTTTTCATTAGAAAAAAAGGTACTGGCACGCTAGCATGCAACTAACCCAGGCGTCCTCAAACTATGGCCCGCGAGCCACATGCGGCCCGCCAAGGACATTTATCCGGCCCCCTGGGTGTTTTTGCCCCATTTGTTTTTTTACTTCAAAATGAGATCGGTGCAGTGTGCAAAGGAATTTGTTCATAGTTTGTTTTTAAACTATAGTCTGGCCCTCCAATGGGTCTGAGGGACAGTGAACTGGCCCCCTGTTTAAAAAGTTTGAGGACCCCTGAACTAGACTGACCAGGTCTGCTCATCTCTGCAGCTCGGTGAGTGCCCAGTTCACTCACCAGCACATAACGAGGTAGTAATCATTACCTGAATAAATGGGTCAGTGAATTACTGAGACGATCTACACAGTACTGACTAGGTGATATGAAAAGCAAGAAATACTAGGAGGACCTAGAATAGAAGAAAAGTGGTGAGTGGTAAACATTTGTCTTGTAAGTTTTGTGGGCCTAACAAAAATGGAAAATCCTGGCCATCTGTTTTTTTCAATTGACTATATCAAGACTTTGACTTCGATGATTTTGACCTGATGTAGTCCTAGGCTTATTGCTACCTAGAGAAATATATCCCCTTTTATTAATGTATCTTAAATTTCTAAATGCCTTTATGATAAGCTTATGAAGAGAAATGCCCAACAGAAACAAATAGCTGTACCCCCCTTTTTTAATAAATAGAAGATTAAAACCCTCAATCCAATCACAATAAAAACTGACTTTCAGATAGCTTACCTACAAAACAGTGGGTTAAATAAATCTCTCATTTATACAGGGCACATTAAAAATACACCTCACTTACATTCCCTTTCCTATTTGAAGCTCCTAAGAAAGGTCTGGATAGTTATAGGAAGCAATTGAACAGCCATCCCAAAAGAACATATCATGTGGACACATCATTAACTTACCTAGCACAACCCTAAAGTCCTCCCCATCCAAGTGCAGCACCCAGGTGTTGGTGGTCTTGGACCTGTTCTCCAGATACTTCTTGAGACTTTTCCCATTGATTTCCAGGGTGTATTCATAGGCAAAACCACTGACAGCATCAATGTTGATGGTTGCTTTTGTCTTGGCAGCTCCAACACAGAAGGTTTCTTTGCCCACTAATTTGAACATCCATTCTTTTCTTATCTCTTCCTAAGTAATAAAACATAAAAGTTGGGGACAAATAAATGGAAGGCAATTTTAAGTTTAATTTAAGAAATACAATCAAAGTGAGCAATAGCAGCATTATTTCTATGCAATTTTATTAATCCCTAATGTCAAGGCTTTAGAAAATCAAGGCTGGTAAGTATGAATATTAGTTGTTATAGTCTATGAGTTCTCTAACTCTTCTTGGTTTGCACTTTTCCACAGAATGATGCAGGCCAAAAGCAAAGGGCTGGATCATAGGAGCAAAGCCCCAAATTCATAGGAGAGGCTCCGTGGACAAATCCGCCTTCTCTCCATACAGCGTTGTACGGAGTAACATTTTTTCCTACCTTTCCATCCACGTAGACCACACGTTTGCCTGACGTGGTCCCGTGTTCAAATTCAATCTTGTGGACTCCGTCACTTAGAGCAATGTCCCAAACAGCTACGAGATCCGTCATTTTTTCTAGGCTAAAGGGAGGGCTAGGGGAATCAAACAAAGTTAATTGTCGTGTGCCAAAATGGTAAGACAATGACTAAGCACTCCTTCTAAAGTGAAAATGACAACATTTCAAATATTCTAAAATGATCAAGTATGAGCGCGATGCCCTAGAAATCTGAGCACAATACCTGAACGTAGAATGATCTTACCCTCGTACTCACTCTGCCTTTAAGACACAAACTACGATCTGTGGGCAAACCGTCCGATAATTCCAAACAAAGTCACCTTACTAGTAATAGGATTAAGGATCTATCAGTTTAGCCTCAGTACTCTTCCAGGCTAGGCTGCAGAATCGTACCTGGGAAGGTCCCTAAGTCTTTACACCCTACCCCTCCCACCCTATTTGAAAAGCTTAATAATTGCTTTTCTCTTCTTCTTCCCAGATCTAGTCTCTCCAACACATGAGCTCTCCAAACTTCCCCTGTTGAGTGTAATGACTTGGGGCTTGCTTGAACAAGCGCTGATTGAGCAAGAGCAGTCATGGGTGGAGATGTCCTCCTACCATGGAGATAAAAACGATACGAAGAAATGTGATGGAAAATAGTAATTCTTGGCACTATCAAAGGAAAGCTTGTTTTGTTTTTGTTTTAAAGGCTTTAGTTTGCTTAAAAATGGCACCATGTAAACAAATACTTTGTGCATTATTCTAAGGCATGGGCTTTTAGCTTTCAGAGACCTAATGTTTATTACTGTTGTAATTAGCATATCCAACAGTTCACTAAGTTCCTGGGTGCCAGCCACTGTTCTGAGAGGTCCACATGAAGATCCTCACCAGGAGACGGGTGCTAGTATCCCTGTTTGTCAGACGAAATGGGGGCTCAGAGAGGCTAAAGGCATATGATGGGGCAGAGACAGGGTCTCAGTGTGTGTACTCCTCCCCGCGCCCTCCACCTCTGCGCAGCCTCTCTGAATCTGAGGTCGGAAAGGGACTGGGTCATTCTGAAGAAGGTTCCAGGAACTCTGTACAGGCAGGGCTTTGGAGCCCTCACATCCAGGCCCTGGGGGAAGGCGGTCGTGTTAGAAGGGTGACTCCCTCCGTGTCAAGTTCTAGCTCCCCCTGCCTCACACCCTGGGGTGTCCGGAACGATGCATTATGCAAGGTATCCCAAGCAGCCTGGATAAACCAGTCTCCTGAAAGATGACCACACTTTTGAACGTTTCCAAAGCTAACGTGTCTGCAGACAAGACATTTACCTTTCGTCATCTTCAAAGATTGGACTGTCATCTCCAGACGCCATGGCGGGCACAACAGCTTTAATCCAATTAGCAGCCAGGAAAGAAAAGCAGAATGGCAGCAAAGAAAGACTGAGGGCAGCAAAGAAGACATCTACAAAAGGGCTCCTAACGGTGCAAATCGGCTCTTCGATGCATGCAGTTTCAGATGAGACGCATCCACAGACAACAGAATTGCAATCTCAAATTTTCAGGGCAGGAGGAGTCAAATCTGTTTTCTTCTGATATGGACCTACAGTTTGTTTGTGTGTGTTTTTTTAAAGCATCTAGTGTTTATTTCAAATATGATAGCACACACAAGCTGGACTTGACCAGAGAGCTCCTCGGGGTCTCATGCTGCTTAAACTGAGGCCCAGGGCATATAGAAAACTCCAAGGTAAACAGGATGCATCTTCTAGAAGCACCATGGTGGTAATGAGTTTAAAATGCAATCCTGTATTACATTTCAGAAGGTTATATAATGGTAGAATATAATTTTTTATGTGTGTGGGGACGGGGGTGGAAGATTTCAAGCTGGTTTGCTTTTGAGTTCAGTAAACATGGCTCTGCTCAGCTCACAGTTAATTTACAGTGCCAATAATGAATCCACAAATGATCAGACTTGCTCAGCATCACTGCAGAGCCCCGGCGAGAACTGGAGCCAAGTACTCATGTCCAGTAAACTCGTCAGTAACAGGGCTGCAGGGCTAATTAAATCCTACTAAAATCAGATGTGATACATATGCACACGCACAGGAAACCTTCCACGCTTGGAGATCTAGGATTAGTAGTTGTAACCCTGCTAAATTATAATTGGCTCAACTACTTTCTGCTCCTCGGCTCTGCCCCAGCCCAGCCCTCTCCTTATTTAGGTGCTTTCTTACAGATACTCAAGGGTGCTCCCACCGCTTTAAAACAGGAGATTGCTGTACTTCTGGCTGCAAACAGCTGTGGCCACAATTTGTTAAAAAAAATATACTAGTGAAGATTAGAAGCCACCCAAAATGAAAAACTAAGTTTTAAAAATCAAATGCAGTGAAGATTTAAAACCATTTGCATTAAAAATAAATCCCTCTTTGCTAAATGTTTATGGTGGTACAGACTTGTGGATGTCTCTAAAAGACGGCCTAGGGTATCTCTTAGCAAAGTGGAGGGTGTCCTGTAACTACAGAGAAAGAGAGTACAGCGCAGCAGAGTAAAGCAGGACCGCATAGCACAACCTTTGGCAAGACATCCTTTGGACAGCACAGTGGACGTAGGGATGTCATTCAAAGTTTGCTCTACAACTCCAAGCGGCTCTAGAAGGGTTAGTAAAGCAACTGTCCAATCAGCGTCAGATACCACTAATCACATGAAGATAAGCCATGGTATCATCTTAATTATAAGTTTCATATCGAGATGTAAAAGGCAACACAATAATCATATTGAGAGAGAAGATCAAGGTTATATTAAAAAAAAAAAGGTTCCTCTAAATCAGCGGTTCTCAACCTGGGGGTTGAACGACCCTTTCACAGGGGTCGCCCAATGCATCAACAGTAGCAAAATTACAGTGATGAAGTAGCAACAAAAATAATTTTATGGTTGGGGGTCACCACAACATGAGGAACTGTATTAAAGGGTTGTGCGGCATGAGGAAGGTTGAGAACCACTGCTCTAAATAGTCAACATCCATTTATACATTCAGTAACTGATTATGGGGTATCTAAAAGAATAGAACATTTTCCTTCTCAAAAACTTGGATAGTGTATGTGATCGTTTGGAAAGGAACTGTATACAGTATGATCAGAGTAAAAGCTGAAGCAATTATCTGGCAAATGTGATGTATCCATAGGTGGTAAATCAAATTCCTTTCATTTCCACGGGTGGGGAGATGACACCAGAAACCTTTCACATGTCTTCAAAGAAAGCTGTTTTAGTATCTAGTGATTTACCATCAGCATAATCTCTTAAAACCCCTTCCCTAGCAACCGTACGCCCTTGACGCATCAGACCACTACAACCAAGTTGTTCACAAGTGTGTGCAAGCATGTCTAGTGTGTGCTTATTCCAGCACTGAACTCTACCTTGATGTGGGGTTAACTGGGTCGGGGACCACACTAGTTGGTTCAAGCTACCCCGGAATCGGTTTTCTCTTGCTTTTACGGAGGAGTTGTAAGCAATCACTGAGATGCTGACTTCCCATTTCAGCGAAAGGGAACTTAAGACAAGACACTGATTGGATCTCCAACCAGTGCGCCGACATGGTGTGGCCGGCCTTGCACAGCTCTGGGCCCTCTGAGCAGGCAGTCAACTCTCTCCTGGGCCATCATCCCCAAATGCGCCTGGAGGAATAGAATCCAGAACAGCTTCTCTGGTGGCTGTATGGCAATGTTTTTCATAAGACTGGTGGACTTATTCTACGCAAATAACTATGTTCAAAAACGCAGAACGAAGGAGACTCAACACACGGTTCCTTTTTGTAGCTGAAAACTGAAAAGTTGCCGACCGCTCCCCATTAGGTAATCGATGAAGTGAATTACAGCCCGTCACTCAATTAACCGAGCGTCCAGCCCCTGCCGGGCACCGAGGATTGATGTGACCATCAACTTGGCACAGCCATCGCACAGCCAATCAAAAGAACGTTAAAATTAAAAACACAAAACCACCATTTTAAAGCTGTGGCTAACCACGCGTGATGCATTGTCCGTGAACGAAACCGGGTTACAAAACTTCACGTTCCAGGTTTTGCAAAACCAAGCCGCCCGGCGGGTGCTGACGGGGGTGGGGCAGTGCCCGTCTGCACGTCCCTGCGGTGGTCTCGGGGCGAAGCGACCGGGCTGACTTCCCCCCGCCCCCCAGGGGCCAGGCTGAGTGCGATCGGAGGGAAAGGCCCGGGGTCGGGGGGCCGGCGCG